AGTGGGACACGAGCGGTGCCGGTGCCCGCGGCTCCAGCCCTTCTTGGTGAAGAGGCTGATTTCCAGCTGGGAGTGCAGAGCCAGCCCTGGTGGCAGCAGCTCCTGGGGTGGTTTGCAGGATCAGACACGCCAAGGGCAGCCAGCACTGTCTGTGGCACACAGGGACCAAGCCATGCTGGGAGGGACGGACACGATGTGCCAGACAGCTCCAGTCCTGGCAAACCGCTGGATCTCCCTGCCGATGTGGAGCCAGCAGCTGGCTCCTGAATTGCCTGGCTGCTTTTTCCCTGACCTCCAAGTCACCTTGAGTGGCACGCTGGCTGCAGGCATTCGCTCTGCCTTGGGATGCTGTGAATGTTAAGGAGGCAGGAATGAAACTTCACCTGTGTGGTAGGGCCTGATCGGGATCAGTGCTGCCAGAGGCAGCCACAGCAACCATGGGCACCCCAAAACTGGGCTGTGCTGCACAGGGCTGCACTGAAGGGGCCTCAGGGGACAGAGATATATCTGCAGCCCTACCAGCGCCATCATATTCCTGCTTCCTTCTCCTCTACTGGCTTGGGACTTCCTGCTGTTCTACTCACCCCATTTAGCCAAGCAACAGTGTGCCCCCAGCCCTTGCAGTCTTGTTCCTCTCCCTTGCCCTGCTCTTTCTCCCAGGCTCCCCCCTTCTTTCCTTCCTTCTTTCATCCTCTCCTCTTCCCATTTCTTTCCAAGCCCTCAGTCTCTCCCCTCCAGTGCTCCTGCAGATTCATTGTGAATTTTGGCAGCGCTGCCTCTGACCTTGGCTGTCTCCCTCCTCTCTTTGCTCCTGCGCTAGCAGCATAAATCTTGGCTGTCTCCATCTGTCCTCCCCTTCTTTTGGTGCTAGCCCCGGGGAATGGAGCAGCCCTTTCCAGCCCCGAGGCTCAGCCAGCTCAGGATCGGGCTGGGGGAGGCTTTGGGGGGCCTGAGGCCACCTCCCAGCTCCTCTCCAGCAGAGGCACCCAGTGCAGTGATGCCTGCAGGATGTGTCCCTCCACCTCACCCACTGCAGGCATCCTCTTGAGCACATCTGTGGGTCTGGGGGGCAGGAGCAGCCCCCCTGGGCAGCACAGCACCCTGACCCCCCAGCAGAGTGTGGCACGGACCCCCTTGCTGCTCTGGCTGCCTCCGCGCTCCATCTGTGTCCAAAGGCAAGCAGGAGACATGGCACGAGTGGCTCTGCCACTGCCCCTCAAGCCCCCAGCCTTGCAGGGGTGGCACCCAGGGCACCCCTGGATGCCCTGAAATGGGAGGCTTGACCAGAGCTCTGCTCAGGACCAGACCCCTGGCATTTCTGTTTTGCCCCAGGAATCTGGCAATGTTGGTGCTGGTGCTGCCACGCTCTCCTCCCAGCCTGCTTCTGCCTGTTTGCAGGGATGTGCCCGCCTGCTCCAAATCCATCTTTTCCT